ATTCTCCAAGCCCTTTGTCCTCATACCCTTCAGGGCTCATTGTAGGTGGGAGCGGGAAGAGATGGGCAGGCTATTCAAGGACTCTCTAAATGAGGTGTGTTGGAGGGAAACGGGAGAAATCCATGGAGACTCTGGCACAAAAAGATTCACCATCAAAAACTCAAAATGTTAGCGTTAGACTCAGGGCATTTATTTTATTAACCAGTGTGTGTATTCAGGTGCTGCGGGTGTTACAATATAAGGTATTTGAGAAAGCCATTAGCATTGACTCTAGAGATAGGCAAAATGTTTAGCATTGTTCCTGGCTAAATACGACTTTCCTAACAGTGCTTCTTATAAATCCTAGAGAATCATTGAAGAAAAGATAGAACATTTGGGTTTACTACCTATAAGCAGTATCCTTCTAAGTATTCATTTGTTCATCCATTTAATTGGCAACTACTTGTGTATCAGGCACGATATGGTGCTGAGCAAAACCAGACATGGTTCCTGCTCTCCTGGAACTTAGTTGATCTCTCCAGAGTCAGGAGCAGGAGAAAGAAGAGGTAAAGGTAAAGAGCAATTTGAAGATTGCTCTTAAAAGGGAAAATGGACTCCGTATACTTGGTAAAGTACAAAAAAGACAAAATGAGGCGCTGGCTGGTTTGGCTCAGTGGATAGAGCATTGGTCTGTGGACTGAAGGTCCCAGGGTCAGTTTCATCAATGGTACATGCCTTGCTTGCAGGTTCAATCCCTGGCCTTGGTTGAGATGCATGTGGGAGGCAACCAATTGATGTTTCTCTCTCACATCAATGTTTCTCGCTGTGTGTCTCTCCTCACTTCCACTTTCTCTAAAAATCAATGAAAAAATATCTTCAGGTGAGAATTACAAAAACAGAAGACAAAATGCAAAGGGCAGGAGTGACTGGGTTGGATTGGCAGGAATACTGGAATAGAATCTGTATGTAATTCTGTGAAGAGGCAGCAATCACTGAAGAAAATGGTTGGCAAGGATGCTGAGTGAGAATGTATGGATCCTAAATATGAAAGACTTAAACCTATGTGTTGTTAGTTCTGAAAGCTTTGTGTAATTGATAAAACCTTAACTTCCAAATGACCCCAAATATTTCCATGCTTTAAAGTTACCATTTGAGTCTGGACTATAATTCATGAAGGTAGATTGTCTGTTTATGTGCCAAAATGCCTTGCAGAATACTGTGCTGTCTACCAAGAGGTAGAGGGATTACCATGATCATTCTTTTAAAAATGTCAGGTTTATTGTAGCTTTTTCTGGTTTACCTTGTCTGATGGTGCAGTACTTCTGATTGTCCCGCAGGGGCAGCAAAGCATCAAAAAGAAACGTTGGGATTATCCTGGAGTTGAGCAAGGGAGCTGAGCCCTCCAGCTCATCTCTTCTGTCAGGCTAGCCAAGGTCATTGAAGGGTCAAAGCTCAGCCACAGTCACCAATGAGTTGTGGGTCTTTGGAGACATTTTATTTTATTTTTTCATATATTTTAACCTGTTAATCGAGCGAGACGTATAAATACGTCAAACGTATTCAATATCCGGTACGGGTAGGACATATGAATACGTCCTTGAAATATATGTTGCTCCCTGAAACTGGCAGGACAATAATTTCCGAACAACAAAGGTATTAGTCATCCATACATGTCTCCACATGAATTTAAGACATGAAGGAAATCAGTATAATTTCGCTATTGAGAGTGGTGGATGTGTTCTGGGTGAGCAGTGACAGGTACGTACTTACACTTACCTACCTATTTTCGTATTATATATTATTTACTTATATTTTTTATATCTCCAACCTTTATATAATAGAAAAACATATAAAATTGGTCCAATCATCAATAATTTGTCAGAAAAGTTTAAAAGTTTTTATGTATGTGAAGGAGAAATATGCGTAGATGAATCTCTTTTATTATGGAAAGGGAATTTATCTTGGAAACAATATATATCTACAAAAAGAGCTAGATTTTGCAGAGACAGGTTTGGCTCAATGAATAGAGCATCGGCTTGGGGACTGAAGGGACCTGGGTTCGATTCCGGTCAAGGGCATGTACCTTGGTTGCGGGCATATCCCCAGTAGGGGGTGTGCAAGAGGCAGCTGTTCGATGACTCTCTCTCATCGATGTTTCTAGCTCTATCTCTATCCCTTCCTCTCTGAACAAAATCAATAAAATATATATATATAAAAAAAGAATATGAGAGGCGTAGATTTGGGAGATGGAGTTATGGTGGCCTACATGGCTGCCCGTAATAGGGTAATTGATATGTGCTGCTTCAATGCATATATTATATACAAAAAAGATAAAGGTCATTTGGATCGATTACACTTTTTGATAAGAGTGTGTAGAGAAATTGGTAGATAACAACATAGTGAAAACCCACCCAAAGACATCAACAAGCAGCTCTACATCTAAACTATCACGCTTAGTTGAAAGGCATTTTCCAGAACAAATGAAAATCGATATAGGAAAAACTAAATCCAGGAAATGCCGAGTTTGCTACAAAAAAGGTGTTAGGAAAGAATCTACATACTGGTGTCCGGATTGTAAGGTAGTACTATGTATCAACAATTGTTTTAAAATATATCACACGGAAGTTGAATTTTGAATTTTTACACCTATATTTCAATTTTTTAAACTCAATATTTCTATTTTATTTGTGTGCTTTTGTTTTTATATTTTTTATTGTGTATAGAAATAAGAAATATATATTTTTTGTAATCTTTATAATTGTTTTTAAAATTTATAATTTTTTAATTCGATGTTTCCATTTTTTTGTTGGTATTCTTTTCTATTTGTAATTTTGTATTTTCCTTTCTGCTTTATATATAAATAAACAAAAGAAAATATATTTCATTTATTTTAATTAAGTATAAATTTAAAAAATATATAATAAAAAATTACATCCACTGGGCGTGATGTACTGACACGTCCTAGTGAAAGAGTATGCGCCCGTTGTACGTTGCATAATTAAAAAGGGAACTCCCCGGTTAACAGGTTAATTGACTTCAGAGAGGAAGGGAGAGGTAGAGATAGAAACATCAATGATTGTGAGAGAATCATTAATCTGCTGCCTCCTGCAAACCCACAACTGGGTCTCAAGCCTGCGTGCCATCTCGTGTTTGAAGGTTTTTAAACATCTCTGTGCTTTCCATCTTGACTGAGGATGGAAGAATTTAACCTGGTACCATTTGAAGGGATTGCTGTAGTGCAGTTGTTGGTGGTTGTCAAACTTGGCTGCACATTATAATCATCCAGGAGCTTCAAAACTTCCAGCTGCCCAGCCCATACCCAAACCAAGTAAACCCAGTTATGAGACCCAGCTATTTACCATATACAACCAAGTTGGAAAAACACTAGGATATGCCTGGTCTGTGTGGCTCAGTGGTTGAATGTTGACCCTTGAATCAGGAGATAATGGTCCAACTCCCAGACAGGGCACATTCCTGGGGGTTTGGGCTCGATATCCAGAATGGGTTGTGCCAAAGGCAGTTGATCCATGATTCTCATCACTGATGATTTTCTCTCTCCCTCTGCCTTCTTTTCTCTAAAATCAATTTAAAAAAAACAACATTAAAAAATACAACACTAGGATAGTTAAGAGTGTGGGCTCTGCAATTAAACTGCCTGGCCTCAAATCCCAGTACAACTACTTCCTAGCCATGTGACCCTGAACACGATGCTTATCCTGTATGAATTCTTTTGTAGAAAAGGGATGATGAAAATAACATGTTCTGCCTAGCCAGTTTGGCTCAGTGGATAGAGCATTGACCTGCGGATTAAAGGGTCCCAGGTTTGATTCTGGTCGAGGGCACATGCCCAAATTGTCTGCTTGATCCACAGTGGGGAGCATGCAGAGGGCAGCCAATCAATGATTCTCTCTCATCATTGATGTTTCCATCTCTCTCTCTCTCTCTTCCTTCCTCTCTGAAATTAATAAAAATACATTTTTTTTTAAAAAAGGAAAGAAAGAAAATAACATGTTCTTACAGGACTGTCATGATGTTTAAATAAGATAATCTATATAAATCACATAATAGAAAGAGGCATGGCATAAGTTCTACAGCAATTATGATTAACAGCTTCCATTTGCTTCCATTAATTCTTCTGGGAGACATTTCCAGCCATTGTTCCCCCATCTGACACTCATTCACCTAGTGGGTTTCTTGTATTGCCCTATCTCATGCCTTTGCTCGCACATGCATTTATTTTACACATATTCATTAAGTATCTAGTTTAACTACAAGTGTGATCAAGACACACGCCTGCCTCACCTCCCTCGAAGTTCAACTTTCCTCGTGAGTCTGTGTTTTCCAGTTCAATCAGAAGCATCGTGAACCACGAGACCCTGTTTTCCCGCCAGCCCTAGCCCCCGACCCCCAGCACCACGAATTGGAAACTGCAGGGTTGAAAGACGAGGTTGTTCTAGCTCTGGCTTTGTCACTTACAGCCTAGGTGATAAGGAGGAACCTTCTTGTTCTCAATAGGTGCATTCCTTCATGTGAAATGTGGAGCTAACCCATCCACGATTTTGTTAAGATTAACCTACCTGAGCCGAAACCGGTTTGGCTCAGTGGATAGAGCGTTGTCCTGCGGACTGAAAGGTCCCAGGTTCGATTCCGGTCAAGGGCATGTACCTTGGTTGTGGGCACATCCCCAGTAGGGGGGTATGCGGAAGGCAGCTGATCGATGATTCTCTCTCATCGATGTTTCTGGCTCTCTATCCCTCTCTCTTCCTCTCTGTAAAAAAATCAATAAAATGTATTAAAAACAAAAAACACACACAAAAAAAACAACCATTAACCTACCTGACCATGCGCTGGAATACAGGCTTTCAAGCAGCAGTGCCGCCCGCGCCCACCAGGGGGCAGCAGGTCTCGGCCTGGCGGCGCCGGGATCGACGTCAGAACCAGCGCCTCTGCCCCGTGACCGGGAACCCGGGCGGGCGGCGCGGAGGCCGGGCGCGGCGGGAGGGAGCCCCGCGGGCTGCGCGATGGGCGCCGAGGCCCCGGGGGGCGGGCCGGCGCTGCGGGAGCTCCTGCGCGAGGCCGACAGCGGCCTGCTGGAGTGCCAGGTGTGCTTCGAGCGGTTCGGCCCCCGCCAGCAGCGGCGCCCGCGCAACCTGCCCTGCGGCCACGTGGTGTGCCTGGCCTGCGTGGCCGCCCTGGCGCAGCCGCGCACGCTGGCGCTCGAGTGCCCCTTCTGCCGGCGGGCCTGCCGCGGCTGCGACACCAGCGACTGCCTGCCGCTGCTGCACCTGCTGGAGCTCCTGGGCCCCGCGCAGGCCGCCCGCCGCGCGGCCCCCGGCGGCCCCGGGGCGCTCACCTGCCGCCTGGCCTTCGGCGGCTGGGGGACCCTGGTGAACCCCACGGGGCTGGCGCTGTGCCCCAAGACCGGGCGGGTCGTGGTGGTGCACGACGGCAAGCGGCGCGTCAAGATCTTCGACTCCGGGGGCGGATGCGCTCACCAGTTTGGAGAGAAGGGAGGCGCTGCCTGGGACATCAAGTACCCACTGGACGTCACGGTCACCAGCGACTGCCACGTGGTTGTCACCGATGCGGGCGACCGCTCCATCAAGGTGTTCGATTTTTTGGGCCAGCTCAGGCTCGTCTTCGGAGGCCCGTTCTCCTTGCCGTGGGGTGTGGAGACCACCCCTCAGAACGGGGTGATGGTCACGGACGCCGAGGCAGGGTCCCTGCACCTCCTGGAAATGGACTTTGCAGAAGGGGTCCTCCGGCGCACCGAGAGGCTGCACACGCACCTGTGCGGCCCCCGCGGGGTGGCGGTGTCCCGGCTCACCGGGGCCATCGCGGTCCTCGAGCGGCCCCTGGCGCCGGGGGCCGGGACCTGCGGCACCACGGTCAAGGTGTTCAGCGCCACCATGCAGCTCATCGGGCAGGTGGACACCTTCGGGCTGAGCCTCTTCTTCCCCTCGGAAATAACAGCCTCCGCCGTGACCTTCGACCACCAGGGGAATGTGGTGGTTGCCGATACTTCCAGCCACGCCGTCCTGTGCTTAGGAAAACCTGAGGAGTTTCCCGCACTGAAGCCCGTCATCACCCACGGTCTTTCCTACCCTGTGGCACTGGCCTTCACCAAGGAGAATTCTCTTCTTGTGCTGGACAGTGCCGCCCATTCTGTAAAAGTCTACAAGGCTGACTGGGAGTGATGGGTGCCTGCTGAGGATTCTGGGGCTTGGGACCAGAAGCCCTGGAGCTGCCACTGATGAATTGTTTAGCCCTGGATAAATTATTTAATCGCATCCATCCAATAGGGATCATTATAACTGCCTGGCAGACTTAGAAAGGGTGAGGCAATTATTCAAGAAGATTAATGAAATTTATTTATTGAATATGTGCTTCATGTGCTAAGAATTTTTTTTAAAAAACATTAGCTCATCTAATCCTTAACAGATACCCAGTAAGGTAATTTATATTATTAATCCCAGTTTAGATATGGGAAAGCTAAGACCCAGAGAGCTGAAGTGACTTACTCAAAGTGACAATCATTGGATCTCAATTCGGACTCCCAAACACATTGTCTTATAAAATAACTTACGTGGGGGAAAATATGTGAATGTATATTATTGCTATGTGTACACTATTTACAAGTAGTCATTTATTGTAGTTGGATGCACAGAGGAGACTTTATAGAGAATTCAGAAAGAGCGTTTTGTGGTGGGTATCAGCTCAACTTGCAACTCGTCTGATGGCATACTGCGTGGAGTTATTGTGGTTCCGAGTTATTTGACTAGGAAAAACCACTGAACTGCTTATTCGGAAGGTAAACGTGTCTTCTGGCATCGGTATCTCCCCCACTCTGTAGGCATCAGGAAAGGTTGCCTATACTTGGTTGAGAAAAGGCCTGCTTTGACGTCTGTTCTGAATTACTGTAGCACACACTACATTTATACAAGTGTTAGAGGGCTGGATGATACTCCTGTAACATGTTTATGTAAATACAGAGATAAATCACCACAATTAATTCGTGATAAAAAATTATTTTGGTGGCCTTTTTATAATCAGTAGTAACCTGAAGCACTTCTGTGATGGGGCATTTGTGCAATTTAAATTTGCCCCAGGTGTTGCAAACACTGTATACTCAAGAAATACTTCCCTTTTATTTTATTGAATTTTTTTACAGAGAGGAAGGGAAAGGGATAAAGAGTTAGAAACATCGATGAGAGAGAAGCATCCATCAGCTGCCTCTTGCACACCTCCTACTGGGGATATGCCTGCAACCAAGGTACATGCCCTTGACCAGAATCGAACCTGGGACCTTTCAGTTTGCAGGCCGACTGAGCCTAACCAGTTAAGGCAAGAAATACTTCTCTTGATCCTAAGTCAGCATTTTAAGTCACTGGTAAACACTGAAATCTTTCTTGAGTCAAAATATAGCCTTGACCAAGATAACGCTTAATGCTGTGATTGATTCAATGAATGGGAATTTCAGGTGAAGTAGCCAGTTTTTCCTCAGTGGAGTGTTTTTAGCTGGTGTAAACGTCTCAGTTTAGTGCTGCTGGAATATCAATAGTACTGAGTAACTGGCACCTCACAAGCAGCACAACATTTTTCTCAGGGAGAAAATAACTGGTTTTGAAGGGTGAATGTTTGCTTCAGATAATAGCTGATGCTTTATCAACTACAGGATTCTGTTATACTAAGGATTTTTAAAAAATATATATATTTTATTGATTTTGTTCAGAGAGGAAGGGATAGAGATAGAGAGCTAGAAACATCGATGAGAGAGAGTCATCGAACAGCTGCCTCTTGCACACCCCCTACTGGGGATATGCCCGCAACCAAGGTACATGCCCTTGACCGGAATCGAACCTGGGACCTTCAGTCCCCAAGCCGACGCTCTATCCATTGAGCCAAACCGGTCTCAGCTGTTATACTAAGGATTTAGTAGACATTACACACTAGAGAGAGTCCCAAAATTATGAGTAAAATATGTTTCAAGATTTTAAGTTTGTTCTTTGGAACTAAAAGAGCCTGTTTCATATGCCAGTCCACAAAAGCCCATTTTGCTTCTGTGTTTTATCAACTAGCACTACTCATACGGTCTCAGACACTCTGGATCACTTTTGTCAGTACATTCCAAATAGGGATTCTGGGGACATCCCTTCCCCTACACTCACCCCACCCATGGAAGCCATCCTTAGGTCAGTGACTTCATAAGTATTCTGTGTTGTATAACAAGAAAAGTCTCCGGTGGAAATATATGTTCAAACTTGTTCATTTGCAAGTAGGGTCACTGTGCCTTGATCTTTAAAAAGTTTTCCTTATGCCCTCGCTGGTTTTGTTCAGTGGTTAAAATGTTGGACTGAAGGGTCATGGGTTTGATTCTGGACAAGGGAACGTGCCTCGGTTGCAGGCTCAATTCCTGCCCCTAGTTGGGGTGTGTGCAAGAGGCAGCCAACTGATGTATCTCTCTCCCATCGATGTTTCTCTCTCTCTCTGTCTCTCCCCCTTCCTTCCACTCTCTCTGAAAAATCATTGGAAAAAACACCCTTGAGTTTACATCCTTGAGTTGTTATTAATAACAACAAAAAATTTTTTTTTAGGAATAAAGACATTTTAATGGCTTTAGAGTTGAGTCAGTTCAGGGATTTTCTCCTGTTTGGAATTATCAGTGGAATCATCCTTGGCTGTGGTGCTATGCATATGTCTTTTTCAGACAGTACTTGGAGAAAGGATGGGGAACATGCTGCACATGTGGAGATATGTGATCAAGGTATTGCTTGTTTCCTGTGGCTTACCTCACCAGAAGAATGAGGTGAGAATCCCTGAGATGATGTAAGAGAAAACCAGAGAGGTAGTAACAAGCAAACTTGTTAACTGGCACCTCTCCCTGGGAGTATGTGAGGCAGGATATGCAACATAAACAGAAAGCAGCTCTTCCCAGGAATGGCATAACAGGTGTGTGTGTGTAGGGGGAGGGAGGGAAGAGGCAGGGTTTCCCTGGGAAAGATGCAAAGCTGGCTGTTTTTTATCTCCTGAGAGGCAGGAAGAGATCATTACAGTGGAAATTTAAAGGTTTCAAGATGATAGAGGAGATCCCAGCTGGTGTGGGTCAATGACTGAGTGTGAACCTATGAACCAGGAGCTCACAATTCAGTTCCTCTGTCAGGGCTTATGTTTGGGTTTTTGCTTCCATCTCCAGTAGGGGGTGTGCAGGAGGCACCTGATCAATGATTCTCATTATCAATGTTTCTCTCTCTCTCTCTCTCTCTCTCTCTCTCTCTCTCTCTCTCTCTTTCTCTCTCTCTCTCTCTCTCTCTTTCTCTCTCTCTCTCTCCTCCCCTCCCTCCCTCCCTCTCTGAAATCAATAAAAATGTATTTTTAAAGAAAGGTGAAGAGGAGCCGAAGCCGGTTTGGCTCAGTGGTAGAGCGTCGGTCTGCGGACTGAAAGGTCCCAGATTCGATTCCGGTCAAGGGCATGTACATTGGTTGCGGGCACATCCCCGGTGGGGGGTGTGCAAGAGGCGGCTGGCCGATGTTTCTCTCTCATCAACATTTCTAGCTCTTTATCTCTCTCTCTTCCTCTCTGTTAAAAATCAATAAAATATATTTTTTTAAAGAAAAAAAAAGGTGAAGAGGAGAGTTGGAATGACCCCCCAGAGACAAGAGATAAAAGGATGTGACCAAGAATAAATGGAGAAGAAGAAAGTCTCTTTTTGAACGTGTCCCTCAATCACATGCCTTTAGGCCAATGCTACCCGCTATGTACCATCTGTTGAGTCCATAAAAGCAAAAGCAGTCTCTCTCAGAGTCCTCACTTCACCTTCCATCTGTTGCAGTTTTGCCCAATTCCTGATCCTTGGATGGTCTCCTCTTTTTACCCTTGTTCATGTTGTGCAGGGTCACTAGATCAACCACCTGAACTTGGTTTTCTCAATTTTTTTCTCTCCACATTTTCTAAGGACTTTGGTTCAGATTCATAAATCTCTCCTCTGGCAAGTCTCACACAATAATTACCATTTGGCAAGGGCCTTATCTAGATCTTCCCTGACTCCTCATTAAGTGGGGTGCAACCCACCCGAAGTGAATAATATACCTTTTGAGGAACAAGCAGAACATCCCATGCATCTCAGAAAAATGAAGAACCACTCATGATGGCTGACTTAATCATCCTGATACCTGCCACAGAAAGAGAGGTGTATATTGGGGGTTAGTGCTTTACTTATGGTGACACTGTGGCATATCTTGATTAGTAAGGAGATGACTGCTTTCTTGAAGAGTTTGCAGAAAATATGACAGGAAGGCTTCCAGCGCTCACCATCACTATCACACTAAACAGTCATGGAGTCTGCTGAGCCCACAGCTACTTCTGAGAAAAACTATGCCCCTCCCACAGGCCTGCTGACTAGCCTGCCCTTAGACACCATGTTTTCTGTTACATGATCCCCTCTAGCAATAGCTGATTGGATAGGAGTGCTCATCTAAATAACAGCCCACTCATCAATGTCCCATCAAAGGTATGAATTAGACCAAGACTGCCCTACGAATTGGCCTGGGGCAATTTCCCAGAACGCAGCAAAGAGATGGAAACACAGGCATGGGCCACTTACTGACGGGTATCCATTCTAAGCAATGCACTGATAGGCAATTCTGTCTTTGTGCATACATCATAGTGTGACTTACACACACCTAGATGGTGCCGCCTACTACTGCAATTGTATGTGCTATACTTTTACATGACTGGCAACACAATAGGATTGTTTACACCAGCATCACCACAGACATGTGAATAAAGTATTGTGCTGTGATGTTATGACAGTTTATGACATCACTAAGCGATAGGAATTCTCTAGTTTCATTATAATCTTACTAGTGGCCCGGTGCACAAAATTTGTGCACTGAGGCAGTGGTTCCCTCAGCCCAGCCTGCACCCTCACCAATCGGGGACCCCTTGGGGGATGTCTGACTGCAAACTGGGACCACTGGCTCCTAACTGCTCATCTGCCTGCCTGCCTGATCATCCCTAACTGCCTCTGCCTGCCTGATCACCCCTAACTGCCCTCCCTTGCCAGCCTGATCTCACCCCCAACTGCCTGCCTCTGCTGGCCAATTTTATTCTAATTGTTCAGTTTCTATGCCAGTCAGTGTCAAAAACTCCACCTCCTAGGCAGCTGTTGGCTCCTCATAGTTGACCCAGATTTAGTTC